TAACAATAGTTATAATAAATATAACAACAGTTATAATAAATATAACAGTTTTAATAAATATTAGAACAGTTATAATAAATATAACAACAGTTATAATCAATATAACAACAGTTATAATAAATATTAGAACAGTTATAATAAATATAATAACAGTTATAATCAATATAACAACAGTTATAATAAATATTAGAACAGTTATAATAAATATAATAACAGTTATAATAAATGTCAGAGAGCAGTGTTTTTGTGCTGCTCACCTTTTTTCTGCATGTAGGAGCAAAACTAATAAAATCCAGGCTCCAACGAGACGTTAGTGTTTTCACCAGTTTGAACAATAACTGAGATCATGCACAATGAATACAGCTGAGCCTGCATCAGGGTTGCCAGATAAATTTAAAAAGTCTTATTTACACCCTCCTTTTCTGTGTACATGTTCAACACAAGACACACTTAATCTAATAGAATATCTAATGAGAATATCTTTACTCAGCACATGTGACAGTGTAGGTCAAAATACTATCATCTTAAAGCCACAGTACTATAGTACTTCATTTCTTATCTGGCAACCCGACTGACATGGAAACTAAAGCGTTTTCATGTAAACCTGCTCATTTTTTGTTTATTACCCCAATAAACATTGATAAAACTCTGAAGTTTCCAGAGTTTATTCTGTGTAAACGGGGCCTTATAGCTCACTTTGACTTAGTCATTTTAAAAGGAGCTCCATGATGAAAAAGTCTGGACACCCCTGATCTAAAGCATCTCTCTTGTGCTCTGACAATCAAAGTTCCTAATGACCCTCAGGCGGGAGTGTAGGGAAATTAATCTGCATGCGAGTCTAGCTGCACAGTGAAGTGTCTCATATGAAACTCGATACTATCCAGTTTAAATCCCAAAAAGTTGTCAGGTCCTCTGGAACCTGACTTAACTTTTTGGGATTTTTCTACCTGGATTATCGAGCATGCATCAGAATATCTCCAGTTTAACATAAAAAAACAAGGAAGTGAAACATTTCCAGAAGTCTGGTTGTTTTGTTTTTCAAAATAATTCTGACATGAACAGTTTTGTGCTAAACACTATGTTTTAATTACTGTTATCATTACACAAATGTATTCATGACCTCATATTTATTTTAATTTAATGTATTTATTTAACAGGGATGGTGCACTTTAATGGTTTAAACCGATAGATGTGGCAGATTTAGCCATCGGGGCTCGTTTTGATCCGGGCAGGTTGATGGTAAAATAAACAAGAAGACAAATGTTAACGGCACTCGTAATTGAGCAAGTAAATAAAAAGTCTCCTCACAAACGGCACAAGTTAATATTGATCACAGGTTTGAAACATAAATGTTCCTAAAGTTAAAAAATAAAATGATTAAGAGCAAGGTTTATGCCACACGTGGGCACCAACTCAGTGGAGCACATTTTTATACGCCCTCAAAGACTTCTGGTCCGCTCATAATTAGATGAAACTTCATGCACTCACCTCAGCTTCAAGGTCACACATCAAAGTCAAGGTTAAAACAAGGTCTTTGCTTGTCCGCGTTGCTACAAATGTCTGTATAACAGTTTGACGCCAGGAGTAAAATGTGCTGTTTGAAGTCCTTTTGTTCAAAGTGTAAAATTAGTTTAAAGGTTAAAATCAGGTGCCTGTGACGCCGCCCGTGAGCACTTTTATTTTTAGCACTTATGGAGCAACACAGAGTACGGCACATTGAGCGATCAATGCAGAACCCGAACCTATAAGGACTGTTTTCTAAAGAAGAACATTTCAAATCCAGCAAGAGCCCACCAGCTCTGACAAACTGTCTGATCAGCGTTCATCTGCAGCAGATGAACTAAATGAACGGAGACATTCAGCAGCGCTTTGGCCCACGCCCATCAGGTTTGGCTCAACAAGAAAACAATCCTGGAGATTACCCAGAATCTAAAACTTTCAAAGAAAAGTAGATGAATTACCTGAAAACATATCTCCACCTTTAGAATGACCAAAATAAATAAGTGCATCCGGTCACATGTAGTGAGAGGAGTGTTTTCTTTTCCCCCGTGCAGGTGATCAGCGCCCACAACCTTCCCAAGCCTCAGGGCTCAGGTGCCAAGGGAGAAGTGATCGAGCCGTACGTGGTTCTGGAGCTGCACGGTGTCCCAGCGGACTGTGCAGAGCAGCGAACACGCACCGCGGCTCAGAACCAGGACGACCCGCTCTTTGATGAGACCTTTGAGTTTCAGGTGAGCCGTCTCTCCTCTGCACGCTCCTCCCAACATTTCAGCTCGTTTGCTTCCATCTCATGAGATTGTAAAGGCATTTTGGTGACCTTCTTCTAGAGTTGGTAAAATGTTCCAAAAATCCAGCGCTACAGGAGCTCCAACAAGGAGAGGAGTTCATGGAGACTGGAAACCAGTGAAGTAGTTCATGGAGACTGGAAACCAGTGAAGTACAACACTTCATCTGGATAGTCGTTTTCTATTGGAGCTCCTCAGGTTTGCAACTTACTCAGAGCAATAAAAGTTGACTTTGTTTTTTAACTCGAGGGTTTTCTCAGTTAGAACTGGAGAGTCTTTGGGGTCGCTGTTTTCCTGGTTCACACGAGTGACCAAGCACAGCAGAGAGGGAGGGGGAGGGGCCTGCAAGTTCACCCTTTTCTTAGCTGAGCTTTAAAAGTAATGTTGATTAAATTCTGAAAGGAACCAGCGAATGGATTGAGGTTTGGAGACACTTTCAATATACAATAATCATCTCGTTGTGTTTTTCGGCAATTTTTGTTTCAACGTTTAAAAGAAATTGACTTCCAGCTGAAAACTGATTGCTGAAGATGATCTCCTGTGTTTTTCTTCTTGTTCTTTGGTGTTTTTGTGTCTGGCATAAGATATTCTTTACTGCCCACTGCCACACAAGGTGAACAATCCTGTAAGTGCACGTGTGTCCGTGCGCTTGTTAGTCTGTTTGTTAGCAAAATATCTCCTGGACCACTAAATGGGTGTTAATGAAACTATAAGAAAGTAATCCCAGGGTGCATATTTACAACTGATCAAGTTCTGGAATCAATCTGAGCCAAGGTGGCACCCACAGATAATGTACTTTAGCCATTTTTACATATGTTGAACTTCAATTGTGTGGTAGTAGCTGAGAATCATTCACAACATAAATTCTGAGTGCATGAGACCTTTGTTTAAAACTTCTGCATGTAAGGAAGTGGGCACTGTGCTTTCCTCAACAAATGCTATTTTAATTGTATTTGTCTTCTGCAGAACTGGGTGGATGAAGCCTTGGACTGGTTTAAATCTTTTTTTTGTGTGTCTCCATGTAGTCTTCTGTAGCACCCCTTACTTGTGGAGTGCCTCAGGGCTCTATACTCGGTGATCTTTTCTTTTCTTTGCATTTACTCACACTTGGTTCTATTTTTTCCAGAAACATGGTGTTACCTTCCATTTTTGTGCATATAACACCCAAATCTTTGTGCTGCAAGAAAATTAGTGCAAACCTACAAACCATCTGTTAAAATGTTCTGCAGAAATCAAGGTGTGGATGTTGGTGAATTTTTATTGAATGGATGCTGTTTAGTCCAAGTGATGCTTGATCCAAGTCCTCTAGCACGTCTGACTCAGCAACAAAGCTGTGTGTGTGGTAAAATAGAAAAGAAATTTTAAAAATGCAGTTTTTAAGGCTTTTGCACATAAACATAATTAATAAATGACACTTTTGATCTATTGTGCGTATGCAAAAGGCAGAAGTAAGTTGGTTGACACACTGTTACTGGGTGTTGCTGCCAGAAAATTGATAAACACTTCACAAGTAATTTGTTCACTTTAAGTCTTGTAATAATTATTTTTTATTTTCAATAATTAAAGTATAGCTGATGAGCCAGTAAGGGGGAAAAACATCTTACTAAACGTGTTTATGAACTGAATGAGTTCATATTTTCTGCAACAAACATAATTATTATACTAAGTGTAAGAATCAGAGTTTATTTATTACAAATTTTCAACCGTCTCATTTAATTTAGGATTATATTTTATTGTAAGAAGAAAATAATTAGGTCAACATGTTCAAATCCAGAGGTTATAATTGGGGTATTTGACATTTGCACTGAAATAAACCAAATCCTGAGGGAAAGAGTTTGTTTAAACCCTTTTTATGGTTGAAGCATGACAGCTCCTTCTAATAATCCTGTTTACACACTGCTGGAGGTTTTCTGTTTGTTGCTGTTTTTCTCAAAGAGAAAGATGATTTAGAAACATCCCAGAACTCCCAGTGAAGTGAACGTTCAAAATAAATTATCAGAGTTTAATTTAACACATTATTCAGATTTTATAGCAACAAAATTCTTAATTTTCCACTGCTGGAAGAAGAAGGTGGATAATAATAATAATAATAATAATGCGTGCACTTTTGTGACAGTTTGTTGTCCCTGATGTGGAGTGAAGCGAGGTCATCGAGTTCTACGAACCACCAGAGGCCCCGCCCATTGTTTCCATCTGTGACATCATAGAGAAGCCAAGATGGCGTCCAGAACAAGCAACTGCTCCCAGCTGATAAAACAAGTGTTGAGCATCAAGCCCAACATGATCTGTGTAACAAATTATTACTGTTTACAATAACCTCGTATAATTCATAATTAATGTTAATTTATACAACAATCATGTAAACAGCTGGACGTTACAGAAGGAAAATATAACTGAGGATCTAAACACGACATGAAGTCTGTCAATAAGTAACGACTTAAAGAATTTTTAGCTGCTTCAATAATTATCACTTCAACTCGTTGATGAATTTAAAACCAACTTTAACGTGTAAATTGTTTAAATGTAGACTCTGCTAGCTGCAGCTAACTGATCAGTGATCAGTGTCTAATCGATCCCGCAGGTTAAACAGAACATTTTCAGAATTCATGCACAGAGCAGATGATGAATTGTTACCAGCAGCTTGGACTATTGAATAATTTGAACTAAACTGTAGCGTGATTCAGGAGGTACAGACA